GGCTGGGCCCGTGAGCCATGGCCACTGAGCCTGCCCAGCAATAAACATGTGAAGAGTTTGGTGTACACTGTTTCAGAGCTTCTTATTTTTTTTAGTGACACTTAATATGAATGCATCCTCATGGCAGGAAATTAGAGCAAAACAGAAGTATGAGAAACAAAAAAAGGTGGAAATCTCCCTTTGCCCCTTCCTCCTCCCAGTTCCTTCCCTGTAAACATTTTAAATATTACTGATGTGTAACACATCCATACATACGTATACATACACAGCTGTTTAATATTTATTTTAAAAACATAAATGGATATTACATAAATGGATGTTTCTTTTTCTAGTTAACAAAATAACCTGGAGATCTTTCCATGACAGTATAATATATTTTTTTGTAAGGCACCACTTTTTCTTCGATCGTACATGTTTATTTACTCAAAAGTAGGATTATGATATAGTATTCTGTAGCCTACTTATTACATTAAACATTATGCTAATACGTACAGCTCCACTTCCTCCTTTAACAGTTGCTTATAACTTCAATGAATGATTTTCTGTGATTTATTTTAACTAGTTCCCTATTGATGGTCATTTGGATTGTTTCTTATTTTTCCCCATTATAAACAATGTTGCAATAAAGATCCTTGATACAAAAATATTTGCTAACTTGCTATTTCCTTAGGTCTCCTTAGGTCAACTCCTAGAAGTGAGATTTCTCTGGGTCAACAGATACATTTACATTTAAAATTTTGAAAAACATTGCCAAATAGCCCTCCAAAATGATTTTGCCATTTATATTCCTAACAACAGTAAATGAAAGCGTCTGTTTCCTCACACCATCGACATTAGTGATTATCACTCTTTTAATGTTTTCCAATTTAATAAGAAAAAAATGAAATCTCATTATTTTAATATTCATTTATTTGATTAATGAGATTGACAGTCTTTATATTTTTGGCCATTTGCGATTTTTCTTTTATGATCTCTTAAGTTTGCTTGTTGACATGCTTTTTACCCATTATTTTTATTGGGATATTCTTAGAGATCTGTAAAAACTCTTTCCATAGCATTCTTACACAGTAATGTTACACTGAACTTTTTCTTCCCAGTTTGTCATTTATTTATAACTTTGTTTTTGGTATCTTTTTCACTGTGACTCTTATGTAGTCATGGCTACTAGTACTTTCCCCGTGGCTTCTGGCCTTCGTGTCGTGCTTACAAAGCCTTTCTCTACTTCAAAATCATAAAGAACTCTCTATTCATATACGCACACCAAGGATGACATATCTGTAACTTTGTTCTACTCTACCATAGATACAACTATAAAAATGGGTTGAATTTTCCCAGAAGTTTACCTTCAATAAATCTATATCATTGTTTAAAAAAAAAAAAAAGAATGATATATCTGTAACTTATCAAAACCAGAACTATTCACTTGGAGAAAAGTATCAATAGTATGCACTGATGCTGAAATGAAAGTTTCCCATTCCTCAATATTTTGTGGTGTACAAAGTGAGAAACCAAATAGAACAGTGCTAGGTTATTTCCAGTTATGGAATTACCTAAACAAAAAACAAAACAGGCCAAGCTATGACGGCCTCCTTCTTAAGATACAGTTTTAAAAAAAAAGATACTACCTAACACTACCTACGGACCCTGGAATATTTGATACCAGAAGCAGAAAGAGCTAATACTCACTTACTCTGCCTATAGTTAGTCTGGCCTATTCAGACTCTGGAGCACGAGCAGCAACGTGGATGTCTGCCTCTGTGTCCTTAAGAAACACAATGCACAGGAAGTGTACTTGGTAAAAACAAATGCTCAGTTCTCCAGCTGTAACACTTTTATTAAATTCCTTGTTACAAAGTGGCTAAACCAGCGGGAGAACAATGCTGATAATTAGCAACGTCTACAAGGGATAGCTTTTTCCCCCACAAACACCAAATGCCACACTGTTACCCAGCAAACACATTCCCAACCCCTCCTCCCTTGCCTGCTCTACCTGAAGTGGCAACATAACAGAGTTATGGCCAATGAGATATGAGAAGTTGTTTTTGGAGGGCATTCTGATAAAAGAAAATCAGTATGGCTGACACCACTCCTTTCCTCTTCTTCCTGCCTGGAATGCATACTTGACGGCTAAAGCTGCAGCAACCATCTTGCAACCACAGGGGGAAGACCAAGGTATGTTGGCCTTAATACTACTGAGAAGGGAAAAACCATTGCCAGTAATTACCTGCCACCCCTAGGATTATTCTGTCAGAAAAATAAACTCCCATTTGCTTATACCTCTGTAGTCATATTTTATGTTTCTTGCAGACCAAGCCCAACATAATCCTAAATAATAAAGTCGTTTTCAAATAAACTTTATGTCTAGCATATAGCAGATCCTTAAAAACTATGAGTGAATAAACAAGATTCTGGGAAACAAAGTGTCCAGGGGTATCAGGTGATTCAAGAAAAATCCCAGCTAGGAATGACAATCGATTTCTAAATGATCTAGTAGTACTATATTCAAAAGATACCACCAATACTTAAACTAGATTTCACTTTATGCCTGGGATAATAATGTTACCTTAATGGATTTTAGTTTTTAAGTGCCTAGTTTTCCTTTTCTATTGAAGTAATTTTTTCATGTCATCCTGACAGAGAACCTAAGAAGCATTCATTTTACTCTATTATTTTTTTAATTCATTTTTTTCTCTTGCCTTTATTTATTTATTTACTTATTTATTGGCTGCGCTGGGTCTTCGTTGCTGCACACGGGCTTTCTCTAGTTGCGGCAAGTGGGGGCTACTCTTCGTTGCGTTGCACGGGCTTCTCATTGTGGTGGTTTCTCGGTGGCTTCTCTTTTTTTTTTTTAAACATCTTTATTGGGGTACAATTGCTTTACAATGGTGTAGTCAGTGGCTTCTCTTGTTGCGGAGCATGGGCTCTAGGCGCACAGGCCTCAGTAGTTGCAGTATGCGGGCTCAGCAGTTGCAGCACGTGGGCCCTAGAGGGCATGGGCTTCAGTAGTTGTGGTGCGTGGGCTCAGTAGTTGCGGCGCGTGGGCTCAGTAGTTGCGGCGCATGGGCTCTAGGACTCACAGGCTTCAGTAGTTGTGGAGCGGGGGCTCAGCAGTTGTGGCTCTTGGGCTCTAGAGCACAGGCTCAGTAGCTGTGGTGCACGGGCTTAGTTGCCCTGTGGCATGTAGGATCTTCCTGGACCAGGGCTCAAACCTGTGTCCCCTGCATTGGCAGGCGGATTCTTAACCACTGCACCACCAGGGAAGTCCCTCACTCTATTATTTTTAAAAACAGGTCAGACCCAGAGATAAATGGAAAAACAAACAAACAAAACCCAGCCAGACAAAGGCATTCATTTGCAAAGCACAGGAGAGCGCAGGAAGTCACAAAGATGTGCCTATAAATGGACTCAGCGCCACCTGTAAGCTAGTTTGTACTCAAAGCACTGAACAAATGCAAACAAAAAATTGATAATCATTGTGTTCAACTAAACTTGCACATCTACTACTTTTCAAGCAAGGGTGGAAATCTCATGGGGTTTATTAGCAAACTAAATACTCTCAAATAAAACGGTTGAATGTAGCTTGAGGGATAAAGCTGGCAAAACCCACATGTGCCTACATTGTGACCAATAATTTCACTTGGTGAAGACTTATGTTTTAAAATGTCTACCACAGCATTACAACAATGATAATTAAACACAATTTAAATTTCCAACAATTAGTGAATGGCTAAATAGGTAATATTATAAAAATATTACACAGTCGCTTAAATTTTTGAATAATTTTAATGACGTGAAATGGTCACAGTATACAAAATATTTAAAGAAAAAATCACAATACAGAATATAATTCTATATTGTTGAATATAATTTTAATTATATAAAAAGAAAAACAAGAACATACTAAAAGGGGACTCAAAGACTGAAATGAAATATTCTGAGATACTAAAAGTGGTTGTCTCCTATGTATGGGTATGTGTATATACACACATTTCCTACCTCTATACGCTGAGAGAGCCTATGAACGATGACACCCAGAACAATGAGCACCCCAGCACCCAGACCTTAGGTTCTAAAAACCACAATTCACTAAAAAGAGTGAGGACTCCTTGGAGAAAGACTGACTCCAGGGCTGGAACAGAGAAAATAGAAGATGAACACCTTGCTGTGATGGAAAGTAAGGAAGCACTCAAGGAATAACTGGGGACATCTCAAAAAGATGCAAGCCAGATTGAAGGGGCTTCTGTTAACCTGAGACAATTTTAAATCAAAATAAATAATGACAGTAACGGATCATAATTAATTGAATAAAATAGTAGAGCATGAATCCATACTGATATAAATGAATAAATAAATGCTAAATAAATCAAGGAGAAGGAATATGGATAAATAATATTATAAGAATATTATGATGTAGTAGCATGCCAACTAATAAATACAGAAGGAATGATTCTTTAAAAAGTTGTTATCTCCGAATTGAGTACACATATACATTTTGTTCTGTACACATTTCTATCTTGTTTCAGCTTTGTAAGATGAGCACGTACTTCTTTTGTAAAAGTACTCAAAATAAAAAAAACCTCAACAGCAGCCTGAACAAACACAACATAATGTACATCTCTAGAGCAATCTCTAGACCCATTTTTAAAAGGAGAACATATGCATAAAACCCCCAAACACATGAAGCAAGTGTGTGTGCTGTCCTAACCCATCTGTCTAGAGAAGAGCTCCAATGTCCTAGGCAGGTGGCTAAAGTTAAAAACAAAACAAAACAGCAAAAACAAACAAAAAACCCACCAGAGGCAGCACTGAGATTTACGGGAATTTTGTTTTGGTCTTACAGTAATGATGGGAGTGAAGAGATGTGACGAGGACCCTTGCTATGATGCCAGTGACAAATGGTTCACTGATAAGAAGAAATGGAGAGGGCGACAGGCTGTAGAACAGGTCAATATCGGGCTGTCATGAAGCCATTTGAGACATATAATTAATCTATTACTCACCTGGCATCATCATTCATTGTGGTATGGTCAATAGGTGCCATGAAGCTCAGAAGCCTGCTAAGGACGTGAAACCTAATAAAGTAGGAAACAAACAGGCAGCAACATTAGTAACTATTAACCTAGAAAAGGAAATACACCCTACCAGGTAACAAACTCCAGAACTGATCACAGGTATATCTGGCTCCAGAGTGCAACAGGGAACAATTCATAGGCACGAACCACTCACGACCATAAAAATACTTTTTCCTTAAGACTACAGGAGAAAAGTGTGATAAAAGCACATTGTGAATGACAGTAGCTCAACAGAGCTCCAATGCCCAAAAAAAGAGTAGATACACCTGTGCCCTTGAGCAATCTACTAGCCCTTAAACATCACTCCAGACAAAGACAATGAGGAGGTGACTACCTCATCTTCCCCCCTCTACACACATCTTAATCATTTTTCAGTGTCATTAAAGCTACCTGCTGGCAGTAGCACAGGTAGTGGCATAACATTCAAATGGAACACCTCACCACCACCATCACTCACTAGCTCCCTGAGTCAGAAAAGGCTTCTAGAATCACCTTCACTCACTAGCTCCACCAGGTCTTTCATTTCGCCCTTTTTTTTGGGGGGGGGGGGCTGCATTGGGTCTTCGTTGCTGCACGCAGGCTTTCTCTAGTTGCGGCGAGCGGGGGCTACTCTTCGCTGCGGTGCGCAGGCTTCTTACTGCAGTGGCTTCTCTTGTTGCGAAGCACGGGCTCTAGGCGCGCGGGCTTCAGTAGTTGCAGCACACGGGCTCAGTAGTCGTGGCACATGGGCTTAGTTGCTCCGCGGCATGTGGGATCTTCCCGGAGCAGGGCTCAAACACGTGTCCCCTGCATTGGCAGGTGGATTCCTAACCACTGCGCCACCGGGGAAGCCCCTCGCCCATCTTCAAATGACACGCGCAACTGAGTACATAAGAAGTCTGATCCTTAGATCTTCAGTCAAGGTGTTACAGAAATTTAAGTTATGTCACCTCCATCTCCCACCAATAGAAAAAAAGGGTATTTTTGTACAAAGTGCTTTGAGATCCTCTGGTGAAGGGGGGGCTGAACAAATATTTGACCTTATACAGAAGAAATTACACCAAAGAGAATTCAAAGAAGGTATCCCTTTCTGATCATTATAAAAGGAGAAGCTGAAGGACAATATGCATAGTATATTGGTTGGCCAAAAAGTTCATCTGGGTTTTTCCATGTTATGGAAAACCAAATGAACTTTTAGCCCAGCCCAATAAAATTCTAACCAGAAAAACCTGTTCTTGGGCAAAACATTATCCACAAAAAAATATGATATAAATATTTTCACATGTGTAATGTTTTACAGTTTTAAAAACATTTTTACGCACATCAAAGAATTTCATTCTCTAGTACGCCACCAATAGCCAAGCCTCCCAGATTGCATTCATTTTTTTAACAAATGAATTTAAAAGTATAATAGTGATGAGATTTTTCCCATTATAAGAGTAATACAAAAAGCATAATTCATTACAGAAAATTTAGAAAACAAACCAACTGAGCACACACAAAAATACATACATAGGGGCTTCCCTGGTGGCACAGTGGTTGGGAGTCCGCCTGCCGATGCAGGGGACACAGGTTTGTGCCCCGGTCCGGGAGGATCCCGCGTGCCGCGGAGCGGCTGGGCCCGTGAGCCATGGCCGCTGGGCCCGCGCGTCCGGGGCCTGTGCTCCACAACGGGAGAGGCCACAGCAGGGAGAGGCCCGCATACCGCAAAAAAATAAAAAAATAACATACATAGTTCTTCCACCTAGAGAAGACCTGTTATTAATATTTATTATTATTATTAGTTTGTTAATATTTTGGTTAATTATGTTCATTTTATATAGAAATCCATACACACACATAATTTCGTATCTTTTTTTTCACTTAGCATTGTATCTCAAAGCTATATACAAATTTCCAGGAATGGAAGTACCATAACTATATTTTCATATACTTGAACATTCATATTGCTTCCGATTCTTCACTTTTTATAAGATGCAACAAAATATCTGTTCACTATACATTTTTTAATGTCCGCTATCTCCTAATAATAAAAAATAATATATAATTTCAAATTCCGAAATGTATAGAGAGCTGACAAGTTCCCTGTAGTCCTATCCCCCAGAAATAATCACTGTTAATTAAATCACTGTTAATCATTGTTAAGTTTGTCTGTGGCATTCTCCATATATAAGACAAATATAAACTTTATATATTTTCACATAAAAATGAGACTGTAAGATACTTAATATTCTGCATTATGTTTTTTTCCACTTTGTCATATTCTATTCTTTTTCATAGTTATAGGATATTCTGTCGTGTCAATATAATTTATTAAACCTCCTACTGATAGGCATTATACAGCCTATTCCCTTTAAAAACCACATTAAACAGTGCGAAAGTGAAGACTTTTTAAAACTTTTTTAGAAATTAATTTTATTGACACATAGTTGATTTACAAAATTGTGTTAATTTCTGCTGCATAGCAAAGTGATTCAGTTACACACACACACACACACACACACACACACACACTTTCCTATTCATATTCTTTTCCATTATGGTTTGTCGCAGGATATTGAATATAATTCCCTGTGCTATACAGCAGGACCTTGTTGTTTATGCATTCTATATATACTAGTCTGCAACTGCTAATCCCAAACTCCCAGTCCATCCCTCCCCCACTGCCCCCCATTTGGCAACCAGAAGTCTGTTCTCTATGTCTGTGTATCTGTTTCTGTTTTGTAGTTCATTTGTGTCATATTTAACATTCCACATATAAGAGATATCACATGGTATTTGTCTTTCTCTTTCTGACTTAGCTAAAGTGAAGATTCTTTTTTTTTTTTTTTGCGGTACGCAGGCCTCTCACTGTTGTGGCCTCTCCCGTTGTGGAGCACAGGCTCTGGATGAGCAGGCTCAGCGGCCATGGCTCACGGGCCCAGCCGCTCCACGGCATGTGGGATCTTCCCGGACCGGAGCACGAACCCGTGTCCCCTACTTCGGCAGGCGGACTCTCAACCACTGTGCCACCAGGGAAGCCCGAAGATTCTTATATATAAATTATTGTATGTTTGTTCACACATTTCTATGGGATAAATTTTGAGATGTGGAATTGCTTTGCTGGTGAATCGAAAAGTATTCATATTTAAAATTGAAAAAGTAAGCTAAATGCCCTCCCAAAGGTTACGTTAATGTACAAGAATATAATTATTTACATAACCTTTTTATTTAAGTATAAAGTGTAAGTACAATTAATAAATATATTTTAATGTCTTTAGGCTTCGCCAAACTTCACTGTTCATCTGAAAAAATGAAAACTATTCTTGGCTGTGTCCAAATACAGGTTTAATTTACTGTCTAGACAAAGACTATGAACTATACCTTATAGTTGTGTTGTCCAATCCAGGAGTCACTGGCCACACGTGGCTACTGAGCACCTGAAATGTGCCAAACTGAGATGTGCTGCAGATTTTGAAAACTTGAGATGCAAAAAATGTAAAATATATCACTAATAATTTTTAAAACAATAAATTGTTGAAATAATATTTTTTATATATTGGGTTACGTGAAATATATTATTAAGTTCACTTGTTTCATTTTTTCCCCTTTTCAATTGTGGCTACTAGAACATTTAAAATTACGCAGGTAAAGACATTTTTATTGGATGGCACTGCTCTGTGGAATACCTTTACACTTTAGTAAAATATATTCAATAACTATTAGCTGCATGATGAAAGACAGGCTTTAAGAAGTAATCAGACTTAGTAATGTGTACTTAATACAATGCATTTTACCTAATCTCAGTGCTACTGAGGATGGATGCATGTTTTAGTATTAAAATACCTTTTACCAACCATACTAAGAAGAGATAAATATAATTTTGTTGCAGAAGAATAGACAAACACAAAACACAATATGACACCTCATTATTAAAGACCCGAGAGCTTCATTCATTTACATTATGAATTCTGCTTAAATCATGATCAAATCCACTTACAGATAATGCTGAGTAAAAGACTGATAATCAATAATTATAATTACTTCCCAAAACCAAAACATTTCTTTTTTATATAAGTTATTTTCCAGCATCCAACTAGCAAATTGCCACACCCAGTCTGACCAGGATGACGCCACTGACCTGCTACCATTTAAACTAAGGTTTCCACAAGGTGATGTTCATCTTTGCTAGGACATTTCTTCTCTCTCCAACCATATCACACAGAGCAAAGCTTGCTCACTGGTGGAATCTAGTACCAGTGATGAGAGTTGGCACATCCCACCAGCTCTTCTGGGGGTCTAATTTAAGGAAGTTATTTATGCTATTCTCATCTAGCCTGGGCCCCTTGTTAAATCCATCATGGCAGAATTCTAACGTAGCCAAGGTACCATTTTGGTGTCTGCAAAGGTCCTGGCCAGAGAAACAACTCAATAGCCACAGGTTAGAAGCATGGGCTCTGGAATCAGACCAATTAGCTCAAATCCAAGTTTGTGCTTGCTAGTTCTGTAGCCTGGGCGAGCTACTCACCTTCCGAACTACTTTACGTGAATTAGCTAATTCAATCTGCATAACAATCCTATGAGATGTGCCTTTTATCATCATGCTAGGTTGACAGATGAGGAAACTGAAGCACAGAGATGTAAAGTATCTTGCCCAAGGTCTATAGGCCAGTAAGTGAAGTGTCAGATTTCAAACCCAGACAGCTAAGCATCAGAGCCTATGCCTTTTCTACCTCGGCACGTAAATTGCTTTGCAGTGCCCAACAGAGTTTTATAAATGTTAGTTGTTGCTATTGCTAACAAGATCACTCTGATTCTGACCACATCCCGCACACTGATGTTCACAAAGAGAGCCAGGTGAATACTGATGATAAAACTGCAAAACAATTCAAAGCACATGACCTTATTTATTACTTTTCTTTTTACTTCTTATTTGGCAGTAATTTTAGGCTTATAGAAAAGTTGCAAAAATAGTGCAGAGAACTCATGTATATCCTCACCTAGCTTCCTCTAATGTTAACAGCTTACACAAGTATAGTGTAATTATCAAAATTAGGAAATGAACATTGGTACAATACTATTAACTAAACCATAGACCTTATTCAAACTTCACCCATTTTTACCCTAGTGTCCTTTTTCTTTTCCAGGATCCAACCTAGGACCCCACATTGCACCTAACTGTGGTGTCTCCTTAAGTCTCCTCCAATCTGTGACAGGTGCTCAGGCTTCCTTATTTTTCAATGACTTGCTACCGTCTATAAAGTCCGAATTCTGAGCTTGACCACAATCTAGCGCTCACTTATTCATATAGCCTCATCTCCTGCCATTCCCCCACACTCAGTTTAAGTCTCTGCCAAAACAAATGCAGTTCCCAAAATGGACGTGTACACTCTCAGGTCTGTGTTTTGGCAAACATTATTCTTTGTGGCCTTTCCCTAGGCTAACTCTTCCTAGTCTGCTCACTTCACACTGTGAAGTGTGGATGCTGCAACTTACAGAAAGTCTTACCTGACAAGCGTGTTAATTTTACTGTTATAGTCATCCAAAAACATGTCTACGAGGCACTACGGTAGACGGTTAGGGTTGGAACTGTCTTGAAAAAACAGTGCAATACTTGCCCTCAAGGGACACACAATTATAGCTACTTGCCCTAATAGTTTTTAAACTCATAAACATATGATAATGTAAAAAAGGCATTTTTGGCCACTCTCAGTTCTTTTGAAGAGCGTATATTTGCAACAGCAACGTCAACAGATAAACACAAGAAACCAAAGAAACTAACATTTTCGAATGCTTCCTACGTACCAGACATATTCACCTTGTTTTAATCCTCAAACCAAATCTATAAAGTAGGGATTAGTATCTCCACTTATTAAATGAGAAAAGTGAGGCTCAGAGAATAAAGAGCAACCAAAATCATAGAGCCAGACAGAGCCAGTCTCCTGATCTGAAATCCTGGGCTCCTCCCTCTAGAGAACATTTAAAGCCTCACAAAGCTATTAAATTAATTAATTAGAAGTACAGCTGAGCTACAATAGTATTAGTTTCAGGTGTACAACACAGTGATTCAATATTTTTATAGATTATACTCCATCTAAAGTTATTATAAAATAATGGCTATATTCCCTGTGCTGTATAATATATACTTGCTCCTTATTTATTTTATATACAGTAGTTTGTGTCTCTTAATCCCATACCCTTATCTCGCCCCTCCCTCCTTCCCTCTCCCCACTGGTAAGCACTGGTTTGTTCTCTGTATCTGTAAGCCTGTTTCTGTTGTGTTAGGTACATTCGTTTGTTTCATTTTTTAGATTCCACATGCAAGTGATAACATAGAGTATTTGTCTTTCTCAAAGCTATAATTTTAAAAGCACCGTACTGGAGAAAAGTCTAATCTCAAAATTAAAGAATAGGTATTTAATCAGCCTGGTCAATTACAAAGTACTAGTAATAACATTCTTCTTTAAATCCTTCCGGGGGCGGGGGTGTACAGAAGAGACAGGTACAAAAGAGGCATGTATGTGAGTGAGTAAGTAAATGAACGTTCCAGGAGGAGGCTGATCCAGTCTTGGAATAATAACAGCAATAATAAAGGTAGGAATGATGGCAACAGACACGTATATAGTGCTTGCTGTGTCCCTGGCACTGTTCTAAAAGCTGTATATATACTTACTCATTTAAACCTCACAGCAACCCTACAAGTCTCGTACTATTATCATCCCCATTCTACAGATGAAGAAACTAGCACAGAGAGTTTAAGGGTCTTGCTCGGAGTAACTACTAGAGTGTCATATCCCAGACTGTCAAAGCTGGGATTCAAACTCAGGCAGTCAGGCTCTTGAGACCATGCCCTTAACCAGTACACTGAAAACAAACTTGGAGAAGTATGAAGACTTGGAAACTTCAACATATCAAAAAACATAAACAAATTATAACAATTTAACCTGAGATTTAAGAAAGTGACTTTCAATCACAAGATGATGAAAAGCTACTTTGCACTTCTGCAAAGTTAAAGAAAAATAAGCATTTCCTGATGAGTTTTGTTAAATACTCAAACAGGTTAATTGAAGTAGTGAAATCTGCTTCTCTGAAGATATTTAAAAATGAGACAGATCCACATTTGTCTAAAGGGAATTTAATGACAGGCAGGCTCTAATAAGGATGTGGGATTAGCTATCTGCCTAAAACTGTCCTAACACAATGAGTTTAACATTTTTTTTTCAGTGTGCACCTGAATTACAAGTAGTTCCTTTGACACTGAGGCCCTGTGAGAGTGATATTATGTAATATATAAAAAGTTACAAGGAATCTAAGTCTGAAAGCATAGCAATGTCACTTCTACTCTTGCCCCATCTTTTGTCTCCATACTTTTAAGACTCCTTCAAGGGCTCACAGGGTTGAGGGCTTTCCTACACTCAGAAATGTCTCTCTGTTCTCATACAAATTATATTCCTCATCTCATTTAAGCACAGTGTTAACATTCTCTGGAATCCTTCATTTTTACCTTTTTAGCATATTGCGTACATGTATGGCATCATGAAAATGGACCAATATAATTCTATGTCTAAACAAGACTCCAAAATACAATTTTTGTATTGTTCTAAAGAAATCATTTTTTAAAACTAAGGCAATTTCAACGATCTTGTCTTATTTCCTTATTATTTCTCTTTCAGGGAAATGCAAATATCATTTAACCCATCCATTCACAACAGTAGAACAAGAAGTAACTGAAACTATCTTTCCATTACAGAGTAAAAAAAAAACGAGAGTCTCAAAAAAAGCCTCAAACATTGCTTTAGTTATTTTTCTCCTCCTGGAAAACAGAATCATCAAAAGAAATAGAAAAATGATGTAATAGCCAACATGCAAAGAGAAGAGATAAGGATAACAACACACAAGATTAACATTTTTTCTAAAAATTAACTCACCGAAGTTTCCTTCCTTTGCTCGCTTTCCTATCTACTTTCTTGTGGATTTTGCTTCTTAACTTCTGGATTGCAAGCCACTGCCTAGGAAATTCACAAGCGATGTTATGCATCATCACTAATGGAAATAGTTACATGTATCGACAAATCGGAATTTTTCTCACTAACAACACTGCAGAAAGAAATCATCAACCTACATCAACTTCCTCAAGACAGTCTGGGGCCAAAGAGACTATTCAACGGAAGAGGATTTGTGCAATGGCTTAAAGAAACAAAAACAAAAACAAATGGCAGCTGGGAAATTCTACAGCAAATTTGGTTAACAATGCTCCTTAGTATTTGGAGTTACTGTGACAAGCACTACATCTACCAGTCTGCAGGAAAACCCATCAAACTGAGCAGAGCTGCTTGGGTTTGCTTTTACTGTTTTAGCTGCGCGGCCTGTTCTATGACTAATATTGCAGCTGCTGTTTGGCTTGAGCACGTGAATTCTTTAAATCTAATTTTCCCATTGTTAATGCCCAACTGCTTTTTCTTGTGCTTTCCACTTTTTGCTAAGTGTTAAGAATTATCCACTATTGATACTAGTTTTACAGTCATTTTATTTATTTAATTTTCATTTCAGCTATAATATTTCAGAATGTGTTGTTCAAAGGTAAGGGCTTTTTTTCCCGCAATATAATCTCAATACCACTGTCACACCTAAAAAAAGTTGACAATAATTCTTTACTATCAAATATTCACTCTAAATTTCCAAGGTCGTCTCAACTTTACAGTTAGTTTGCTTGAATCAGGATCCAAACAAGATTCATATATTCTGCAGTCATTTTATTTTACTTTTATTTTTTAACATCTTTATTGGAGTATAATTGCTTTACAATGTTGTGTTAGTTTCTGCTGTATAACAAAGTGAATCAGCTATATGTATACATATATCCCCATATCCCCCCCTCTTGAGTCTCCCTCCCACCCTCCCTATCCCACCCCTCTGGGTGATCACAAAGCACCGAGTTGATCTCCCTGTGCTATGCAGCCGCTTCCCACTAGCTATCTATTTTACATTTGGTAGTCTGCAGCCGTTTTAGATTAAAAGAAATTAATTTTTCAAATAAAAGATACTGGGCTAAGAAAATCTTCATATATTGCTCATATGAACAAATGTGGGGGGAAAAAAGGAAAAACAGCAGCAGCTACTCATCTTACCTGATTTACACAATGAAAATTTAACATCAAAAAAAAAAAATCCAGGGAAATCCAATTACTGTAATCTTAATATAATCTTAATTACCATAATCTATTTTATTGTAAAGTCAGATAAATGTACAATATAATCATCACTTAAATGCAATTTGCTCTATCACATTAAATTTATGGTGAACAGCTCTCTACAGCATTCCAGAGATATACAAAATATCAACATCCTACCCTAAAATTCATATGTTTTACTCACATAAAATTATTTCATCAACACAAATTTTTCATTGTGATCTCAAAATGCTGCTCTGCCCCAGAATCCCATTCTGATACTTGCAGCTTTTGTTTCCTTTCATGCTTTTGCAAATTATGGCTCATGGCTATTTAAATGTACACTATTCATTAGGTAGCACTCTCAACGTCCTTTTTATTTTCCAGCCACAGGATGAAGCATACACAAGGGCCTTCCTTCACTACTTTCCATTCTACCCTGACATCTGGGTAATGCCGCCACGTTCCATTTCTAATTGTGCCACAGCTTTCACTGAAGGGGTGGAGGTCTAAATTAGGGCACACTCTCCCAGAGCAAGGAACCTGTTGTGCACAGTGCCACGTCCTGACAGCTGAGAGCATGCATCTGGGTGGATGCTTTTTACCCACTGGTCAGAGATTCATACAGATAAAATCACAGCCCAATCCAGAGAGCAAAGAGATTAAGAAGGACTTTGTGAAACAAACCCTAAAATAAACACCTATAGGCATTTTATAATCTCTTATTCAAACTGCACTTAAGGCAATGTAGGTAGGGTAAACAATTTCCATCACTCTGTCTGTCTAGTTCTTGTTATCTTGCTTAACTTTTTTTTTTTTTAATTTGGCTGTGCGGCATGACTTGTGGGATCTCAGTTCCCTGACTAGGGACTGAACCCGGTCCACAGCAGTGAAAGCCCGGAATCCTAACCACTAGGCCACCAGGGAGCTCTCAACTTTTATAATTTTAGGACCAATCGTTGCCTTGGAGGCTGAATTAAGGAGACTCAGAGGGAGAAACTATTATACAGGCTACTTGCATGAATAGAAAGCCATATCTAAATTACCTTCCCATGGCCACCTGATCATTGGGATCCAAGGAGCTCGTCTTCCGTTCTATGAGTTCTCGGAGGAGCTAGGGGAAAAAGGAAAGCAAGTGATTTATTTATCATCTCCCAGCACCAACTGACTTTAAAAGGGCACAGGAGGAATTCTGAATGGCATAGTGACAGCTCTAAACTACAATCAATAAGGGACAACTCAGTGGCAAGAGCATGACTGAATTCCCATTAACCCTTTCATATTTATATATCTTTAAAAAGAGCTATAAGCAATAGCTGAGAACAAAGTCCATTTGAAAGACTTATTGTACTGCAGTTCATTTCAAATGGATCAATGAGTATGCAACATTCCCTTCATTGTTTTTATGATTAGTTTTGTCCACCTCATCGATATCAGTGGAGAATCTATAAAAGGTCAGGTGGGAAGGGCTGGGCGGCAAAGAGGAACACGCATCAGCTTCTCACCAATAGGATAATGGTACATGGTTAACTTCTGACCTATAACCTCTGGCAGTCAGGAAGGTCTTCCTTAGGCAAAAAGCCTTTATTAGATATAACTAAAAGTGTGGACTTCACTCTCTTGCTTTCCACAGCTGGTACCCTAGCATGCTTACTAATAAATAACTTAACCATATATGACACCAACACATTCACAGCCACAACAACTTTAATAAGGAACCTAAAGAAAGTCATATGTGCATATTGGAAACACAACACAGACAGCCAGTCTCTCAGCCCCACAATGAACTCCATGGGAACTCTAAATCACTCTCCTACTCTCCTCTTAATACTGGGTATCCCACCGCATGCAATCAAAGCCTAAATCTGTATCTTACACACAGACTGAAGAATTTGCATTGGATCTTAAAGTCCCACGTGAGAAGAAGCAATGGATTTAAAAGTTAAACACTAAAGAAGGAGAATTTTAAATTACAATAATAAAACTAGATATCATCTCTCCTACACAAGTGCTATATACAGGGAAACAGCAACAGAGATTAAAATTCCAAAAATCTTCTGAGAGGGACTTCCCTGGTGGCACAGTGGTTAAGAATCCATCTGCCAATGCAGGGGACACGGGTTTCAAGCCCTGGTCTGGGAAGATCCCACACGCCTCAGAGCAGCTAAGCCTGTGCGCCACAACTACTGAGCCTGCGCTCTAGATCCTGCGAGCCACAGCTACTGAGCCCTCGTGCCACAACTACTGAAGCCCACGCGTCTAGAGCCCACGCTCTGCAAGAGAAGCCACCGCAATGAGAAGCCCGCGCACCGCAATGAAGAGTAGCCCCCCCTCGCCGCAACTAGAGAAAGCACGCGCACAGCAACGAAGACCCAACACAGACAAAAATAAATTAATTAATTAAAAATCTTCTGAGAGAAATCCAAGGGAAGACACTAAAATAAACTCCTTCCTGCTTATCACCTGTCAATAACACAGGTTTGACTTTAAAACTTGTTTTTTCACAAAAATAAGTAATTATTTTGTAGGTAAGGCATGGGAGCAATATAGATAGTTCATCAAGTTAAACAGCCAAAGTCTGTGGGAGGATAACGAAGGAGGGATAAATTCCTACGAAAGTAGTTCACTCTCTAATTGTCATTTGTTTATGTAAGTAGGCACTGGAAGAAGCACAACAAATTTGTAAAAATACTCATTTCCATATAGGACGAATCTTTATTGCGAAAGAGAAAAGGATATCTCAATCGCAAATAAAAAACCTCCTGTGATGTTCTCTCATTTGCTTATTTTAGACATTATTACTACAATGGCAATTACATTTAAAAATGCGGGGACCAGAGGCCTCTGGTTTATTATCACTAGAAAACAGCAAGCTATTTCTCTGCCCTGTTTATCTGATTGACTCCCAACATCTTTCTGGCAGCCAATCTATCAGTTTATCTCCCCTACTTCATCACAGTCACTTCTGGCAGCTAAATACAAGATCCAAATCCTGTGTTACACAGACATACGACACAGGAACCCTATGTAACACCGCTACTCTGTAAACAGCTGCCCTTAAGGCTAAGCCAAAATGGGCTCTGGCTCCTAGTCAACATCCTGTCAAAAGCAAGGTTAGGGGAGGCGGGCGGGGAGGGGAGAGGTTAACAAAAAGAATCTTTTTCTCTTTTAATAAAAAAGAAGAAGAGAAAACAAAATAAAAAAGAAGGAAAATAATGGGATCACTACATCTCGTTGCCCTTACCTTGTTCCAGCCACATAAGAGATAACAGCCACGATTCCTGGTTTTCTTAATGATCTCTGATCCCTTGAGACTGGGGCCATCACGGCCACTGGGAAGGAGCGCTCAGGGAAGGCTGCCCCAGCACAACGTGGGAGGCTGGCAACGGGAGCCGCACCCGCAGTGGGTCTGTTACACTCGCAGTGGTCTCTGCAGTTCCAACACCAAGCTGGTGCAGCATTTACTCTCAAGCACCCTGTGCACTTTACATATTCTGGGTTGCATTTTCACTACCCAAGTGTCTCACAGCTATTCTTAGTCATTCATGGTTAGGAAGAGAGTTTTATTGGTCTATCTGGCTGAGTCTAGTTTATTCAGTCCAATGTTTCAGAAGGCCCTGTTGTGTGCAAGGCAAGAATAAGAAAGTAGCAAGAAAATAAGTAAACAAATGCTTCTCGTGGCTATTGCTATTTCCCACAGCTCTATCACTGGGCTTAAATTTAATTAGGAAAAATGCTTTCAAAAAAGTTGCCGAATAATGAAGTTTTAGGGATACTGCTGAAGAACTTAGCTTTGCTTCTCAGTTCAATTTTCAAAGCTTAACTATATGACCAAACTTTTCCATTAAAATTCCGGTTTCTGTTAGTTACTGGAGCTTTTTATTTCAACAGTAATGATACAATAGTCCTAATTTTCTATGTGATTTGGAAAATGGAGAGATATACGAAATATTTTTGTTCCAGTCTGTTATAATTCCTCCAGAGAGTCAATTCAGAAAGGCTTGATTGTTTCTCTAGTTCCAGGGGAAAATCATAGATGTAGCTGGGTTTCCAGGCCAGCCCACAAAAACCTATTTAACCCATAACAACATATGTGAGGAATGGCACCGACGGTACTATTCAGAATCGAATCAACGTTTATAATACTCTGCCTGGAAAAACGCACGCCACAGTCCGTTAAAAATGGCAGTTTGAACACACTAGTCTATCTCTTCTCCCTTCTCAACTCCTCTAAAAGACAGTGGAGGGAAAAAAATAAATGTATTAACCCGCAAGAAAGAAGAGAAAAGGGAGAGCTAATGAGAGTAGCTTTTCACAAAATTTTCAAAGACAGTCAGGAGATGAAGGAGTAAAAGGAAGTTATCACCCAAATGTCCAGAGGGAATAAAGGTGAGGGTGGAGCTAATGAGGCCCACAGAATCCCTGTGAGATGAGCTCTTGGCGGGCAGTTACCCTGAAAGGTGGAGAAGGGGGAGGGGGCAGAACCATGGGCCTTCTCCATTATCCCACACAACCAAGTGACTACCCCACAGGGAGAAAAGAAGCTTTATTCTCTGGAAAAACTGAGCCACAAAAGCTCCAAACTGAGAGATGTGAGGCACGGAAGGCTGAGATGGGGCATAAGGGAAAGGCTCGATGCTCAACTCTAGGACCTTCTGTCTCCTTCCCCCACCCTCTACACAGAACGCTAGCACCATGTGTAAAATTTCCTAGGCAGGAGAGGAGAGGAGCCTTTTCCGGAGAAACTGCATGGTCGTCCCCTGTCTCCCCGGAAAATAAGATTTCCAAGTTCTGACAACCAAGACATTAGTTCACAGCAAAATTATATATAAAGGAGCCAAAAAGCTCTGCCCAGGTTCCAGAGATACTTTTGAATGCCTTACTCTGAAACACGAAGGGACAGTTAAGGATCACCAACATCTGAGGAAAGCCTCAGACACAGACCAAAACAAACAGAAAAAAAAGGGACTCAAGAAAGCAACGCAGAGAACAAACAAAACAAACGCACACAAAAAAAAAGAAGAAAGAAAAAGAAAAGAAAGAGAAAAGAACTCACGATGGATGACCTCAGAAGTGAGAGAAGACACATTTCCACAAGAATGGGATGCTATGAGAAAAGAGTAAAACAAGAAATTAAACGCAAAACAGAAATGTTTAAAAATTTCAATAGAATAACTGGAAGATAAATGTACAAAAATCTCTTAGATATAAAACAAGAAGGCCCAAAGATGATATCCCCTTGATTATTTGTGAGAGAAGAAAAAAACTTAGAGGATAATCCAGAATGTCAAACACCTGCCTAACAAAGGCTGGGAGAAAATTATTAATGAAATAATTTTAAAAACTTCCCCAAATCGAAGGACGAGAATGAACCCACCACAACCTAGTGCAACCTAGTGCAATGAAGGAAAAAGGACCTTTTGTAAGATACATCATCATGAAATGTGGAACTCCAGAAGCAAAGAGAAGATCCTAAATGGTTAGAGGAAAAATAGGTCACATGTAAAGAGGGTGACCACATGGCCCCAGCTACCCCAGAGAGTCCTGGTTAATGCCTGCTGTCCTGCTATTCTTTCAGGCTAGCACCTCAAGGGTCCCAGTTTTGACAATGAATTATAGTCACCCTAAATATTAAGGACTGTAAATCTAAATGGGATTAGACATCTCAATAGCAATGACAGATGCCAGAGGACAGCAGAGCAAGGCCTTCAAAATTCTGAGGAAAATAACTTTCAACCTCAAGTTCCATACACAGCCAAAATACTAACCAAGTATGAGAGTTACATAAAGCATTTCACATAGGCAAGGACTCAACAATTTACTTTCCACATGCTCTTTCACAGGAAGATGTGCCTCAGTAAAATGAGAGCACACGGCAAGAAGGACGAAGACAGGAGATGTTAGAAAACAGGTCTACCTCAGGAAAGAAGTGAGGCAAGTCCCAGGACTACAGATGGCACAGCCCCAGAGAGCCTGTTCCAGAAAGGAAGAGTCCAGGGAGCTCCAGGAGCGAGCGCTCCAGGAGAAAGGGGGAAAATGATAGGTTAAGTACATCTTTTAAAAGCGGGTATTATTCGCTCTAGGAAAAAACAAATTTGTAAGGAAATGTAATCA